TTAGTTTTGCTCTTGAATTTCCCCTTGTAAAGCAAAATTATAAACATAAACAATTAATTTTTTTTATTCTTATGAACCTCTTTCAGATTTGCCCCTGAACTTTTTCAGGTTTGTCCTTTATTTTTTCCAAGAAAATATGGTCATTGTAGGGTATGCAGACCCCTGGGAGAGAAGGTTAGCAAATTTCAAGCTGTCAACTGACAGATTGCAAGCTTGACACCTGTGACCTATCACTTGGACTATTTCTGAACATGTATCTAGTGCTCTGTTGAAAGAATGCTAAACGCATACCCCCCAATAGCCCGGATGATAGACCACAGACATGGAGAAGACTCATAGGGTGAAACAGGAGAGAGTGATCTTGCCCTGATCCAAGTGACAAATATGGAGGAAAAGTTGTGAGAAGTATATAGGGTGCTCCTTATAATCTTCCTCTATACCTATAACCTGTCATTTGAGCTAGCAGGCTTAGAGGAAGGGTGAAGAGGAAAGGAGCAATCAATAACAGGCAAGGTCCATACTTGACCAGTGCTGCAAGAAATGGCTCACCCACTCTCAGAGTCATATAAACGGTATAACATGGTCATGTGAAACCCCTTGTCAGCAGAAGCAAATCTGCACCATACTCACTGGTGATAGAACATGCACCACACAATTATCAGAACCCAGTTTTCTTTCCTGAGTTCTGATTTCCCTTCCATTAGCACAGAAAAGAATATTAAATCAAGTCTAGTGCTCTTTCAAAATAGCATTAAACCCACATAGATAGGAACTTCCATAAGATCTAACAAGCATCTTGGAAAGCCCTAGTCAGACATTATGCAGGCAGCTGCATCTATGGAAGTTAGGTGTCCAGTCTGTCCAAAATAGCCATGGAGTAGAGCGACCACAGGGGAGGGTGAGTGACCAGTGAGAGTGGCCCCTGAGTATTTCATCAACCACCTTGGCAGTGAAGCATCTGCCATGTTCATAGAAGAGAGATAAGAGGAAAGACACTACTTTATAACTAGGACAGCAAAAACTTCTGCTACAGAGTGAGGATCAATTAAAGGCAACATCCTGAAGATAAAAATGTATAAAAATGGTTACTGCAATATATTTGTGCTGAGATTAGAGGGACATGAGAATGAGCCTTATAAAATAAGAGACTCAGCAGGTATCCTATACATTGATTTTTGAAAGAAAGTTTGCTTCAGTTCAATGAAACCTATACTCAGGAAAGTAGTTTAGGAAGACAGCCTAAGGCATCTCATGCTGTCACCATATAAGAAATTTAACGTGGGCTTTTTTGCAGGTTGGTGCATGAGAAAAATCACAATAGACATTTCTTAATTCTATAGGAACAGGTACAAAGGGGCGAAGGTATGCAGAATGATTGTATTTGTGTTTCCCTACTTGTAATCCTTGCTTAAATCATTGGCTAAGCAGCTTAAGGTTTTGAAATAATGTTTCTGAGGACTATATCATTAACCAGCAATTCAACCTTAATAATCTGCTTTAGCTGTGACAGGGAAAATTCTGGTTTGCACCACTATAGCATCCTGATGCTACAGATGTTCCAGGTAGAGTGGTAGAAAGCTGTGACTTCTGGGAATTGCAGTTACTGTACATCTGGAAGGGACAAAAACAGGACAGCTGCACTACAGTTACATTGGGAATCCATATATCCTTATGTCCCAGGAAATGAGAAAAATAATAACAATGGCCTGGCCAGCATTCTAGTTATTTTATTAGATAAAAATGAGCATCAATTTCAAGACATTATGGAATTTAATTATAATGAAATCTATATAGTATAGCTAATCAGCAAAATTTCATTCAGATGCCTACAAACTTTATTCTTGTAGTTTACTCTTAACCTCAAGGAATGTCACTTCCCTTTCTCTAGTGATTTATTTCTTTATTTGTGAATGCTTTATTCTCCAGGGATAATTACTTTCATTCTTCTAAAATTATGTGGCTTACAATTAGATTAAATTAATTACAAATTAATTTACAGTTAAACAGGAGACTAAGTTCACATATTACACTAAGGCAAGCTTCTTAACTCTGTAGTTGAATACTGTAAACAACGGTTGGCTGGGTTTACATATAATACTAAGCCATAAACCCTTGTTTGCCATCCACAATGTCTAGGTGTATGTAACATGCAGAGCCAAAACCAAAGCAAGCACCTTATGATGTATACGCCCTGATGTAGTTTGCTGGTGCATAAACTATAGCATAACTTATGAGAGATCAGGAAAACATTCAGTGAACTGAACTGCAATGATGTGGTATGCAATCAATGCTACTACTGCTAATAAAAATAAGCAACTGAATTACAAAGGCTTGAACCAATAGTGGAAAACTGCAGCTATGCAATAAACCCATATATCACTGATTACTCATCATTTCCTTTATATAGACTGAATTTTAAATTCACCATTACTATAGATGTGATTGGTGTATAGAATAAAAGCAAAGAGTACATACAATAGCCCCCAATAGTTTTTTTTTTTAATGGCATAAGAATTTGAAAAAGAACCAACCAGATGCAAGTTTCCATCGCCTCTGACTGAGCTAAGGTGGAGGAATATGTTCAATCAAGTCATTCAAATTCTAAAGAACCAAATAGCTGGAAACTCCAGAGTTCTAATGACGGAAAGTGAAAATAAGAACTGAAGTTCCAATGATTCACTTTTAATTGAGGTGAAAGTAGGACAAGTTTCCACTTATGATGAAAGAAAACTAAAATTAACTACTGAAAACAAAAGATACCCTTGGAACATTTATTCTACTATACCATTAGAAGGGAACCATCTTTTAGTATTTCTGGAAGACATTTTTTTTTAATCTGTTTTTGAGGAAGGATATTTATAAAAGTCTCAGATGATGTTACAAAAAAAGAAAAAGTCAATGTGACTACAGTTTGGCAATTCTGCCTCCTCTTTTTGACTTGGAAAATCAAAAATAAGAAAGAATGGGAAATACTTTTCAGATCTATACACTATGAATCGT